GGAATGTCACTTATCTAATTATAACAACAAAGAATTTAAATTATCAATCGAGATACTCTTGCTTTACCGCAACTACGCGTTACCGATCTATTGCGCTGACAATTAACGTTTAAATACAGCTACGGGTCGTTACCGATCTACTGCCGATAGCTAAGTCAAAAAGCTTAGTTTTCACGGCGATAGAAATGAAAGTAAAAAAGTTTCGTAATAATTAAAGGTTAAAGATCAGATCGATCGTTTATCCGAATACTTCAGTATCGAATATTATTTATTTTATAACATTAACAATTTCAACATTTCAACATAACATGAGGATTTTTGATGGTCGGGACGGCTCCTTATATACATTTTGCTGTTACTTAATTTTCTACACCACAAAGCACGTATTTTCTATCTTTCCCACGCTGCCGCCAAATTACGTTACTTGCGTTATTGTCTATTCTTATCTGCATTATTGTGTTCAAAACTGTCACCAAAATCGCGTTACTCGCGTTTGCATTAGACCTTTTTCAACGTGGACAAATTATTGGTGCTTGAAAGTGTAGTGCAATTATAAGAATAATCTACATAGACACTAATACCTTCCTTCAACCGTTGGTAAGTAATTAAAACTTATGATAATTCTGGATATAAAACGTGTCTATCCAGGAAGGAAGATGACGTTGATAGAGATGATCGTGCTTTGAAAAAAGTGCTTAAAGAAATCGAAAGGCAAACATTAAACAATTTTATAACATCCACCAAATTTTGTAAAAAACTATCAGACGTTATCTCTGTAAACCCGGATATTATTCTCGAGTCGGTGTTAGAAACCTTACATTAATAACATTAATCGACATAGTGTTGGGATAGACCAAAGAAAAGAAGTATGGACTAATGAATGAAAAATTGTTATTTGAGCTACTTAGTGTCCACATGAGAAACATGACGTAGGTTGTCTTATTCCTACAATAGATCTGGTCCAATAGTGAGTCAAAATGATTTGGGGATGCTTTCATAAATATGTCTTAGCCCGTTAGTTAGACTAGTCGGGCGAACTAAATCAAAAAGAAGTGTATAAAATATTTTAAATCATTTGGTGCCATATCAATACTCTTGAAAATAGAAATATTATATTTCAAGAACATCATGCACCTATTTGCGCTTCAAGATTGACAAAGAAATCGAAAGAAGAAAACGATATAATTAACTGATTTAAATCTTATGGGACGTTTATAGGATGTATTGGAAAAAATAGTGTATTACCAAAAAAAAAATTATCAACAACTCTCCAAGAAAAGTGGTAAACGGCATGTGTTCTGCTGTTATAACAAACAGAGTAAATTATACGAAATATTAATCATGTTAATAAATTATACTTTACGTTTTGGCCCTGACCATAATTGAGAGAGATGTGATTGTTCAAAGGAACTTAGAGGAAAAGAGGAAGATGTAAAGGTTTCTTGTAAGCATATTGCAATAGGGTGAAAAGATTTAAAAGTGTGAATAATTGAAGAAAGCTTATTAAAGTTCAAACCAGCAGAATTTAGTGAAATAATATTCATAGTCATATACTAATAAACGGGTTTAGTATTAATTGGAGAAAGTAAAAGAGTGAAGGTTATACTTGGGATCAGAAGCATTGTAGTTTGGACCAGAGAGCATGGAGGGGTTAATTGAATCAATAGACATGTTTTCTGAAGAGTCATTTGTATTTTATATTCTGAATCCCCTTCTGTAGGATTATTTTTGTTGCTTGTTGCTGATGGGGCATGCATTGATGAGTGGGATATCTGATGACTGAGATACTTGGGGTAATAGTATTGTATCAAGCTGCATGCTGACATCTGTGTTGTTATTTGGTGAATAAAGAGAATTGGAATTGGTGATGAGTGATTGAGAGTTTAGCATTGTAATAGATTGAGATCTGTTGAGGATTGTTGGGTTGGGTGATTTTTCTTCATGGAATCTAGAGAGGTGATTTGGATTTTGGGAATGGACTTAGAATTGTTAGTAGAGGAGGAACTTTTATGGTTAGCTATATTTGAGAGATTAGGGAAATTGTTAGTACTGGTATCAAGTGTGATAGTAGCAAGATTGGTAATTGGATGTCTTGGTAGAGATCTTTTGGGACATTCAGAATGGAGATGTCCATCTTCCTTGCAATGAAGACAGACTTTGGGAGAGTTGACCCAAGTCAATACTACAGTGCTGTCAAGAATAGTAAGACAGGTTGGGATATTCTTCTTATAATTGGGTTCAATGACTACATCCCACTTGGGAGTCAAAAGATTAGTACCAGAAATGACAACAGGAGCAACTTCAATAATATTACCAAATTCTGAAAGAGCAGAAGAGATAATAGGAGAAAGGGTTTCTTTGCCTAGGATAGGCAAACCATGTAGGTGGAGTACCAGTTTTTTCCTTGGGTGACCTTTTGGAGGGGAGAGATAGATAGATTTGGAGTTGTATTCAAAAGGCTCATCCAGATATTTTTCAAATATTTCTTTGCTTGCAAAGACCAGTTCAAGAAAACCCAAATTGGGGTTGAAAGCTACCCCAATGAGTTCATTTTTAAATTTGTCAACAAGAAACTGGTCAGGAACTTTATGAGAGCGAGTATCAAGAAAAAGAGAGTTTGGAGATGCTGAGAGAGGAGTGGAACGACCCATAAAGGGACGGTTTTTAAGGGATGAGGAAGTATTCTTCCAATTAAATAATGAAAAGGAAGTATTGAGAGGGACAGTGGGGTTAAGAAGTTGTTGGGGGTTATCAATCATAGTGGATTGGGAAGGTTGAGTTGAAGCAACTTGAGCATATGACATGTTGAAAACAAAATCTCTGCTTAATCACGAAAATGGCAGTGGAAGAGAGATGAACAAATGATATATACACTCACCGGAAAAAAGTATCGACAAAATCTGCAGATCAATTAGTAAAACATATGAAAAATCTTTTTCTTCAAAGAGCTCTATTCTACGTATTTACTATGTAAGTCACGATGATTCTTGTACCGGTATGAAGATAATTGGTTGTAGTTTTCGAGAAAAACTGTGATATATTTAACCCCATTACCACTCTGAAGCTGCAGTTTGTTGAAGTAGCAGTATCAATGTTACACATATGAAAATCTATGAAAAACATATGTGTAACGTATATACTGCCACTTTAACGAACAACTCCTTTCTTACAATGACTAATAGAAAATTTTACATTATCTTTTTTGAAAGTCCAACCAATTAGCTTCAA